GACATTCTTTCTCGGGTTCGTGGGTCGATCACGTTTGTGGTTAAAGGTGTTTCGCGCGTGCCCGCCGTGGCAATGTGCCCCCCTTATCTCGGATCCTCGGTAAATAACGGGGCCTGCAGACACACGCCCCCCCTTGTACATGAAAACATGCGAGGCGTTTTGCGCAGAATCCACGATCAAGCACCAAGTCTGGAGATTCCCCCATGTGCCAAGAGAATGGAAACAGGTAGATATGTTGCGTGCCCGCTGGAGGATGGCGCGCCCCGCGCGCCGAAGATCTGAGGACGTCTCGAGCGAACCGCCTGGTTTGCAGAACTTGAGCGGCCGGAGCGCGCCGGGGTGCCCAGGCGGTCCTGGAGCGCGGACACGCGTAATGTACTAGAGAGCGTAGCCCTGGGAGCGCGGACACGACGCAGCGTAATTCACCCGGGAGCGCGGCCCTCCGAGCGCGACGCAGCGGGAGGCCACGAGGGGATCGGGCCCAGGCGGGAGCGGACGCAGCGTAAGTTGGGAGGGGGTCGTGGCCCTGGGAGCGCGGGACGCAGCGTAATTTACAAGGATCTGGCCCGGACAAGTAATAGATGGGACAAACGTGGCCCTGGAGTGCTGACGCAGCGTAGCAGCTACGAGGGATCGCGGACCTGGGAGCGCGACGCAGTCCAGTTTCGCGAGGGGTCGCGGCCCTGTGCGAGCGGGCGCAATGTAATCTAGGAGGGATCGTGACGCTGGGAGCGCGGACACAGCGTAACTTACCAGGGAGCGTGGCCCTGGGAGCGCGGACGCAGCGTAACTTACGAGGGACCCTTGCCCTCGGTCAGGGGCGTCCCGTGGCACGTTCCCTGGCACGTTCCCTGGTGCGCCGCCTGGCACGCTCCCTGGCACGTTCCGCCGTGGCGCGTCCCGTGGCGAGTCCCCCTGGCACGTCGCTCGGCGCGTCCCCATGGCACGTCCCGTGGCAGGACCATTGGCACGTTCCGTAGCGCGTCCCCCTGGCATGTCCCCCTGCCAATTAGCTCTGGAGCAGCTACTATGTGCTCAGGCAGCTCGAGCTTAAGATCAAGACCCGTTCGGTCAGGACTCGCAAAGGAGGACTCCATCCACAGCGCTACAGAACAACATCGCGGCAAGTCACATCGCAATTCAGCACGGCGCAGCATAGCACAGCCCTTAGCAGTACATCGAAATCGATACACTCAGCATTGCAAATGCCCGTCGCCCAATCAGGTGCCTTGAAAACGTCACCATGCCTTACATGGTTACATTCCTTTCTGGGTTCGTGGGTCGATCACGTTTGTGTGTTAAGTGTGTTTCGCGCGTGCCCGCTCGATGGCAATGTGCCCCCTTATCTCGGATCCTCGGTAAATAACGGGGCCTGCAGACACACGCCCCCCCTTGTACATGAAAACATGCGAGGCGTTTTGCGCAGAATCCACGATCAAGCACCAAGTCTGGAGATTCCCCCATGTGCCAAGAGAATGGAAACAGGTAGATATGTTGCGTGCCCGCTGGAGGATGGCGCGCCCCGCGCGCCGAAGATCTGAGGACGTCTCGAGCGAACCGCCTGGTTTGCAGAACTTGAGCGGCCGGAGCGCGCCGGGGTGCCCAGGCGGTCCTGGAGCGCGGACACGCGTAATGTACTAGAGAGCGTAGCCCTGGGAGCGCGGACACGACGCAATTCACCCGGGGAGCGCGGCCCTGGGAGCGCGGACGCAGCGGAGTTTACGAGGGGATCGTGGCCCAGGAGGAGCGGACGCAGCGTAAGTTTGGAGGGGTCGTGGCCCTGGGAGCGCGGACGCAGCGTAATTTACCAAGGATCCTGGCCCTGACACGTAATAGATTGGGACAAACGTGGCCCTGGGAGTGCGGACGCAGCGTAGCGCACGAGGGATCGCGGCCCTGGGAGCGCGGACGCAGTCCAGTTTGCGAGGGGTCGCGGCCCTGTGCGAGCGGGCGCAATGTAATCTAGGAGGGATCGTGACGCTGGGAGCGCGGACACAGCGTAACTTACCAGGGAGCGTGGCCCTGGGAGCGCGGACGCAGCGTAACTTACGAGGGACCCTTGCCCTCGGTCAGGGGCGTCCCGTGGCACGTTCCCTGGCACGTTCCCTGGTGCGCCGCCTGGCACGCTCCCTGGCACGTTCCGCCGTGGCGCGTCCCGTGGCGAGTCCCCCTGGCACGTCGCTCGGCGCGCGGCGCGTCCCCATGGCACGTCCCGTGGCAGGACCATTGGCACGTTCCGTAGCGCGTCCCCCTGGCACGTCCCGCGGTGCGCTCCCATGGCGGCACAGCCCTGAAGGCTAACAAACGGAAAACGGAACGCACAAAGACATGTGAGTACTACATGTTCTCCTCGGAGGCGCGAGTCCGACCCGAAAACACAGTTTACCCATCTTGTACAGCACATCGTTTCCCTGGCGGTGTGGCCAGAAAGCGACCGCCACGGCGCATATGCCACAAAATTTCTCGGTGCGCTTGTCGCCCCTGGGGGGGGGGGGGGGGGGGGGACGCACGCACAGCATTAGTATTAGCTCGGGCGTGTCCCCAAACATATTCGGAACATAACCAAAAAAATGGAAAGAAAAAAAACGTTGTCCTCATACTATGTTGACACTATTTTTGAATATACCCCCTGTAGGAGGGACAGGCCCGACTTCGCAGTGGCATGCTGGGGTGATGCCTCGAGAGAGAGAGAGAGAGAGAGAGAGAGGTCCAGGGGGCCCACTCACTGCGGCCCCCGAGCCGGGGAGGCCTCCGGACCCCCCCCCCCCCGCCCCGCGCCGCGGAGAAACAACCACGACGAGGAACCTCTGGCCGACTTCGGCCTCGCGGGCCCTCGTTCCAGCGTTGGGGGGAGGGGGCCGAGCCGGGGAGGCCTCCGGACCCCCCCCCCCCCCGCCGCGCCGTGGAGAAAACATCACGACGAGGGATCTCTGGCCGCCTTCGGCCTCGCGGGTCCTCGTTCTTCCAGCGGCAGGGGGGCAATCGTAGGTGGGCGCCTCTCGTCCAACTTCCTTGTTGGGCCGCAGGGGCAGATTTTATGTTCCGGGGCAGCGCCGCGCCGTGGAGAAAAAAACACGACGAGGAACCTCTGGCCTCGCGGGTCCTCGTTCCAGCGGGGGGGGGGCAATCATAAGCGGGCACCTCTCGTCCACCTTCTCGTCGGGCCGCAGGGGCAGGTTCTGTTCCGGGGCAGCCGAGCAGCCCTTTCATGGGCCCACCTGCCTGCAGCGAGGGCCACGTTCCTCGGCAGTCCTCGACCCCCCACACACACACACTTACTTGTCCCCGCCCCCCCCTCTTCCACCCGCCCGAGCCTCCGAGGGCCCTTGGCGGGGCCCGGGAGTGCCGGGGAGTGGCTCGCGGGGGTGTGCGGCAGTCTGCTTTGTTCCGCACTCTGGCCACTGGTGGGCGGCGGTGCTCGGGGGGCGCGACTGCCAGCTTACCCGAGCGGTCGGCCGGGGGTCTCCGAGAGCACCGACTGCAGCGACCTCCCGGCTGCCCTGCCTTCCAGGGCAACCGCAAGGAGAATCGTCGGTCCAGGGGAATGTGGCCAGATCTCTGGGGGCCTACGTAGGGGGAACGAAGAATGACGTGAACATGAAAGCTCGGAGGTCCGCGCGGATCTCTCGTATCGGCGCTGGAACCCGGAGCGCGCCAGGGGCGGCGCCGGAGGCGCCGCCAGGGGGGTCCAGCGCCGATCCGAGAAATCCGCGCGGACCTCTGAGTTTGTATGTTCATATCATTGTTCGTTCCCCTCTGCGGACGGTGGGGCCGAGCATTTCTGTCATTACTAGAGTTGCCCAGGGAGAAACAAACATACATCCAGACACACACACACACACACAACTTACCGGATTTCCAACATATTCTTCCATATGTTTCAAACATTCGCGCTCCCTTCGGTCTTCCATGGCAGTATATTTGTTGTTCATGGAAATCGGAGTTGTTTGACTCACTATGCTTAATCTTCCTTTCTGAATATATCGGGTCGGCCCCTCAAAAAGGTCCGGACCCCTGCTGCCAGGATTGAGGATGACATGACAATGGACACTCTAACCAGCCTATCATTGAATTAAATATGTGTTTAGAATGTTTGAAAAATATGTTAAACCTGTTTTAAAAACTGTTCCCGACATGTTTAAGACATGTTTGAAACATCTGTTCGACATCTGGAATTTATTTGGCAGCACGCTTCGTCTCCATGGAGCGACTTCCACAACGCCAGGGAGTCCCTCGCCATCGCTCGGACTTCCCTTCCCCAAGCCTTTGCCGATCTCGTGCGTCCACTGTTCCGCAGGCTGCTCCGACCTGCTCCTCGACGGCCAGACCCGCCGAGAAGACAAGCGCACAACGTCCGAGCCGTGCCAAGGTCTGGGAGCTCGCGCTGGGCCACGGCGACACGGAGCATCGTTTGTCCGACCCCCATGCCCAGCGGCGTGGCCTGGGCCCCCCTGGCCGATTTTACCCCCTAGATGGGGACATGGGCCGTTCCCTTCGTGCTTCGAGGGGTGTATCCCCAGCAGGGGCGGTAGTTTGGTGGGGGTCTCGAAGGGGAGGGGGACGGGCATGGGGATCGGCGAAGCGACACCCAGCGGGGCCGAGACCGATACCGCCGCTCCCCGGACCTCTCCCGGGGTGCGCTCTGACCAGGACCTCGAGGCGAATCCGGCGGCGGCGCCGACGGAGGCCCAGGAGGCCCCAACAGATGGGAAAACGGCCGAAGGGTAGAGGTACGGGTACCTCCTCCTCCTCCGGCAGCAAGGCCGCGGGGCCGCCGACGCCTGAGCTCCGCGACGACGTGCACCAGCAGCTGCGCCCGCCCCCTACAGGCGGACTCTGGACGAAGAACTGAAAATACTCAAAATGTAAAACCATGCCCCGAAATGCTCAAACTATCGTCCCTGGACTATTCTTGGACTCTCTTTGAAGGCTCCCCCCGTAGCGGGACAGGCCCGACTCAAGGCCACGGCGCAGCAGCGAGGCCGCGGCGCCGCCGAGGCCTGAGCTCCGCGACGGCGTGCACCAGCAGCTGCGCCCGCAGCTGGCGCTGCTCCACGAACTCCTGGGGCGGCGCAGCCGTGGGGGGAGGAGCCCCCGCGACGCCCGCGGCCTGCGGCGCCCACGGGCGCCGGGCACGTCCACGCCCGCTCGGCCTCCTCCTCCTCCTCCTCCTCCTCCTCCTCCTCCTCCTCCTTTTCCTCTCCTCTTTCCTCCCCACTCCTACTCCCTCCTCCTCCCTCCTCCTCCTCCTCCTCCTCTCCCTCCCTCCCTCCTCCCCTCCTCCTCCTCCTACCCTGCTCCTCCTCCTCCTCCTGCGCCTCCTCCTCCTCCTCCTCCTCCTCCTCCTCCTCCTCCTCCTCGCCCTCGTCTTCTGCGCTCCCTCCTCCTTCCTGCGCCTCCTCCGCCTCCTCCTCCTCCTCCTTCTGCGCCTTCCAGCTCCTCCCTCCCTCCTCCTCCTCCTCTCCTCCTCCTCCAACTCCTCCTCTCTCTCCTCCTCCTCCTCCTCCTCTCCTCCTCCTCCTCCTCCTCCTCCTCCTGCGCCTCCTCCTCTTCCTCCTGCTCCTGCGCCTCCTCCTCCGCCTCCTCCTCCTCCTCCTCCTCCTCCCACGGCGCTGCCCGACGTGTGGCCTGATTGGGGCCGGATGTGGGGCCCCAGCTGGCACCGGCTCGGGGCCCGAGGTCGCCACTCCACAGGGGAGGCGAGGAGAGCGAGGAGGGGCAGGGGGAGGAAGACGGGCGAGGCAGAGCAGGAGGAAGGGTCACGTGCGGTCCAGATGCGATCCAAACGTGGGAAAAGCCGGCTTCAATGTCGCCGCCCACGGCGCACATGAACAGACCATCGAACCCGGAAGGTCTCCGTAACAAAGATCAGGGCCTGCCAGTAAGCCAGATCAGACCTGCCCAGATGGAACCCCTGGCTGAACCGCACTGAGCAGGACGAAGCGGAACTCGGTGGGGCAATGCTGGACGAGGCCGACCACGGACATACCAGCGCTGATGCTGACTACAGTCGGGCCGCTGAAAGAAGGAACGCTAAAGAAGGAACGAAGCCCCTTCTTTGACCTGTAAGCGCCTGCGTGCCCCAGGAGGGTAAGAGGAACAGCACTGGAGGAACCTAAGGAACATCGAGCCCTTCCGAACCCAAACTGCTCCTTCTTTCAGCGCCTTGACTGTATGTGCCTTCGCGTCTGCACGCCGAGGTACGATCCCGTTGGGATTTCGCCTCCGCAGGGGGCGCCCCGCGCGGGGAGCACGCGCGGGCGCGCCGCCCAGCATCCCAGGGGAAGGAGGGGGAGGAGGAGGAGGAGGAGGAGGAGGAGGAGGAGGAGGAGCAGGAGGAGGGGGAGGGGGAGGAGGAGGAGTAGGAGGAGAGAGGAGAGAGGATGAGGAGGAGAGGATAGGAGGAGGAGGAGGGATAGGAGGGGGAGGAGGAGGAGGAGGAGGAGGAGGAGGAGGAGGAGGGAGAGGAGGAGGAGGAGGGCGAGGAGGAGGAGGAGGAGGAGGAGTAGGGCGAGGAGGAGGAACACCAGCGAACACATGTTCTCTGGCGCGGGGCCCTACGTAACAGGTGATTTTTGGCACGCTCGATGGGCACCTTTGAAGGGACCCTGGGACACACAAATAGATAGACACGAATAACAGGATTCCCAATATTTTCCTGTATTTTCTGTGTTTCTGCCTTCCCCCCCACTGCCCATAGTTTCCCATACTTTCTGGGGAATCGACGATTTTGATTGTGTCTGTGTTTCTTCCCCTCCTGAATGTTCTCCGGAGCGGTGCCCTACGTAACAGCTCTTCTTGCACGCTCGATGGGCACCTTTTGCGATGCTGCCTGTAGTGCGCAACTCATGTCTGCAAGTTTTGACGTCGTAAATCCCCAAGCTCGTGCAAGGTTCCCACCGTCTCAACTTGTGGGCAATACGCAAATGGCCATGATCTCAGAGGGCGCACGGGCGCGTAGAACTCAACCGCGCAAACGAGCCCGTCCTGCAGGTCACGGCATGGTGAGGGCGATGACGATGACCGCGACACCAACGACGATACAGGGACCAGTGGTGATGACGCTGATGCCGATGGCGATGACATTGGATACGATGCGATGTCAACGACGACGGCGATGGTGATGGTGATGAAACTGACGTTGATGACAACGTCGGTAAACACGATGGCGCTGGAGATGATGATGACGACGGTGTTGATGATGACGATGCTAATGTTGATGATGGTTACGATGATGATACTGATGATGATGACGGCAACGATGCTGATGAATGATGCTGAGGATGAGGATGAGGATGAGGATGAGGATGATGATGATGACGATGATGATGATGATGATGATGATGATGATGATGATGATGATGATGATGATGATGGCGATGATGGAGAAGAAAAAGAAGTGTCCATGCTCAGAAAGTTGAAGACGGCGACCACATCGACGATGATGGCGGCGACGGTTATCCGAATGGTGGTGATCATGATGACGACGGTCATGCTGGCGCTGGCGATGATCACACCGATTCTGCTGATGAGCATAGTGAGGACGTGTGCACGGGGCCCGCCAGCGCCAGGTATCTGCAGCAGGGCTGGTGCCCCCCCACGACGGGCCCAAGAGGCGGCCCAAGAGGCCCCCGACGGCCCCCCTTGGACAGCCAACAAGAACACTCCACGACGGCACCAGGATGGGAACCAGAGCTGTTCGGGAGCTCTGCACGGGGCCGCGCACCCGAGGAGCAGGCGCGCGCTGGCGGGTGTCCGGGGGCGGGGGGCCCAGCCCCCGGGGAGGAGGAGGAGGAGGAGGAGGAGGAGGAGGAGGAGGAGGAGGAGGAGGAGGACCCCTACCTCGGCATGGCTCTGGAGGGACCCCGAGGGCCTCGATTTCCCCGTCAAGCCGCTGAGCTGGGACCGCCAGAAGGTTTTCATGTTTCACTTGGAGTTCCTCTTGAACATGCATGTGTGGAAAGCTACCTACCCTCTCAGTCATAACTCTGGAGGCCTCCAGGAGGGGGGGGACGTGTACTCCCTGCGGCTCTACCCTGCCAGAAAGCGGGCCGCCATCAAGAAACGGGAGAAGCAGCTCATCGAGCACCCCCTCCCCCGAGCCCAACAAGCCCAGGCCCAGGAGGAACTCCAGCGAGAAGCAACTTTCCCAGCAGCTTTAGAGGCCGTTTCCTGCTCGAGGTGCTGGAGCGCCCATCGCAGGTTTGAGAGCGGCCAGCAGGATGACGCAGACTGTCCTCTCTGTGGACAAGAACACGGAGATGATTTACACAACTTTTGGACGTGTCCTGAATTGGGGAGCCTCAACATCCCCGCCATCAATCGGACCCAGGGCTCCATAGATCGGGCAGCGGCAGAGTCCCCAACGGAACCCAGTCTCTGGCTCCGAGGAATCATCCCCGCCACGATCACTCGCCAAGTCCATGGGCACATTCTGGGGCTAGATCAGGACACAGTCCGAAAAGGAGTATTTGAACAGCATGCAGTCTATCAGTTCGATGGCTGGCAAGTGGCAGCCACAGACGGAAGTGGAGGGCCTCATACGCAGGACCCGCGCATCAGAGTCTGCGGCTGGAGCGTATCCCTGTGGGCACACGACCTCACCTGGAAAGGAACCATCCAGGGAGGCATCATCGGCCCGCAGACGGTACCGCTGGCAGAGCTCGAGGCAGTTATTGCGCTGCTGGAGTCCACCCGCGGCCGCCTCACTATCGTGACTGACTGTGCCTATGTGATCAAGGGCTTCAACAGAGGCCCCCGCTTTCGGCACCCCAAGAACCAGTACACGTGGCAGAAGTTCTGGACCCAGGCCAAAAACCGACGGGACAACACGATTTTCTACAAAGTAAAAAGCCACCCCACGGAGGAAGAAACCGCTCGAGAGCCTCCATGGGCCCTACACCTCAATGGCCATGCCGACATTCTCGCTGCGGAAGCAGCACAGTGGCGTCAAGTCCCAGGGCCCCTCGTTCGACACTTCCAAGGCACCGACATTCACGCCGATCTCATCAGGGACAGGTTGGCAGCAGTTCAGACTCACTACTGGAGTCACAAAGACCCACTGGGCCTCGAGGGGGATGAGGATGTCAAGGAGAACCGTAGGAAAGTGAAGGTGGAGCGCAGTGTAGCAGCTTTGCAGGTCGAGCTGTCTAGGACGCCCCACTCCCTCTCCGCCGTCCCTGTCCCTCCTCATTTCCAGATTGCTTGCCTCGCGTGCGGCAAGCAAGGTAGTGTCATCAAGGGAACACCCAAGTGGCTCAAGGCCCCCTGCGTCCCCCCAGGGCCGCAAAATCGGTTTCATCCTTCCCACGGGCCATTCATCAAGAAGTTGAATGGTGTCCTTTGGTGCTCCCGATGTGGAGCCTGGACCATCCGCGCAGCCAAGAAATTCAGGGAGCAGTGTGCACCACCAACAGAGGGTGGCATCAAGGCGCTCCAGAAGCTTACCCAAGGTAAGCCACCACCAGGCCTCAAAGCCTGGCCCGATGGACCCACATGAGGTCCACCCAGGCTGCTCCCACGCGGGGAGACCAGGACAGCTGCGGAGGCGCGAGCGCGGAGGAGGAGGAGGAGGAGGAGGAGGAGGAGGGGGAGGAGGAGGAGGAGGAGGAGGAGGAGGAGGAGGAGGAGGAGGAGGAGGAGGGGGAGGGGGAGAAGCTAGGTGCGCTCGCGTCATATCTGACATCCTACCCCTCCCTCCCATCCCTTACCATGGCGCAGATCCCCTCTCTACTCGCACAGTCGGATGTCGAGCAGGGCAAGGATCCCGAAAGGGTGCGCGATGCATTGTAGAGCACGGCGTGGCATGGCGTAGAAGAGCACCGCGAAGCGTAGTATCAACCTAGCATTGCATTGCACGCCGTGGCATGGCACGGGAAATGACGCCAGCGCTGCAGCGGGAGCACGAGCCGAAACGAGCGGAAGCGCGGAAATGAGGCCAACGCTGCAGCGGGAGCACGATTCGGAACAAGCGGAAGCACGGAAATGAGGCCAGCGCTGCGGCGGGAACACGATTCGGAACGAGCGGGGCCCGAAAATGACGCCGGCGCCCCAGCGAGAGCA